GGGACCCCATACCCAGTGCCGCTGTGTGACGCTGCAGCCTCTCCTAGAAACAACCAACCAACGAAACGCTACGCCCCACGACTTGCCCCACCATCTGTTCCTCCCTCATTCTTTTGGATCGATGTAGGAATTGCTTTTTCAGGATTCGCAATATGCTAGCTTGGACCATTTGTACTTCCTTGTTTGTTTACGCTAGTTTACTGGGGAGCAGAGAACATTGGATTCTCCTGCTATAACTGTATCCATTTTATCTAAGTTCTACAAAAGCAAGGTGTCTTCAGTGGGCGTGCTACACATGTGTACGTATTGAGGAAAACGTAAAGGCCTTGGCTACTCGGTGTTCTATCAGATAAGGAGGTCCCCTAATGGCAGCTTGAAGTCTATGGCCTTCACCCTGTTGTTCAGACAGCCAAACTTGTCTGCCTTTCCCTCCAATCTAGTGAACCAGAGCAAAACTTCCTTTGTCAGTCTCTGCCACTGGCGACAAGGCCCCCTCTGAGTCAAACTCTCTATGAAGCCAAGTCTTCCTCTGGTTAACAGAACTGCTGGATGAAAAATCCAGAAATGCCAATTTGAAAGGACTTATATTATGAAAAGTTTACAAAACTGCCTGTCTTTTATTGCAGCTACTAAATCATGATGGGGAAGGGAAAGAAAAAGAATTTCAAAAGCAACTGCCTTTTATTTTTATTCTCCCAGAGAGGTTTCTGTGATCTCTTTATTAGACACAATATGTGTCAGCTATTCAACTCATAAAAAAAGCAGAAAAACATGCCCGGGAAGGAGAAATATTTTCTGTTTCTCCTTTCCTGCGAAAACTTTGAATGAGCTCATCTGTGTTCTCTCCTTTCAATGAAAGATAAGCTCATCTTCTCATTTTCCATCGCTGATGTCAGGCAGGCCTTCCAGTATCCCTTTTGTGATCTTATAAAATCAATGACAACCAAAAACATTTCCCTTCTGGCTATGACCTCATCAGTGGCCTACACCTGGACAGGCCTCATCTGCATTGGTAAGTATTGCTCAACTCCACGCATCCAGACTGAAGCAATTTATCAGGAAACTACCGCTTTCCTTCAAAACGCTGCCTACACCATTCAGAGTCCGAAGATTTCTGAGCAACCTGGCTGAGCGCTGACTATGACTAGTCAATGACTCTTCAATCTTTATGCCGATCTATGTGTACACCAGAAACTCTCCATCTAGCCCTGGTTTTGCCTGGACAAAAAGTGATCAATACTTCTGAATGTTAGGTAGGTGACATTTTGGTGATATTCTTAAGAGTCCCCTCCGCCTTCCCCTGTCTCCTCTACTGTGTGCTACTCTCGTCTACATTCTCAGCACCGAAACTGGCATCTGATTAAGGACAGGAAGGAATTTGGTGCTACTGGGTTTACATGGCTGTGAGTTTCCTGAACCAGGGAGGTGGACAGGGAAACACTGGCTATCTCCATGCTGAGAGACACTTGCAGAGTACCCTCAAATCTCTGAGACTTAGAAAATAAGACATGATTCTGTGTAGAAATCAACACAGAATGGATGAGTTTGGGGAGAAGCAAAAGACACAAAGACAATATTTTACTGGCCCAAAGATGGAAGAGCAAAGAAGGTTTGGCTGTATTGGTATGTCTAAAACTAAACGGTGTTTACATGTTTAAATACAAATTGTGGAGAGTAGTGAACTTACATCTGAGAGGCAGAAGTGGCAACTCACTGAATTCAGAGCACGGGGCAAGTCAACAGGCGAGGTCCAGCTGTGGGTCAGGGGAGTTCATCAGGCCTCCCTTCCTGAGGCCCACGGGAAACAGTCCTCACCAGCCACCCCCTTGCTCCTGAATCTAGGCACCTCAACCACTTTTCAGATGATTAATTCAGCCTCCCCAGTTGACACCGCGACACTGAGACACACAGGGATTGTGAATATGCGGCTCTCTGAAAAAGCATCTTCCCTACTGTAAAAATAACTTGGCTTTTGTTTTGTGCATTATCCTCACAATAATAATGATAGCTAATAAATATCAAGGGCTTGCTATATGCCAGGCACAATTGTAAGCATTTTACATGAATAAACGCATTTAATCTCCACAAGAACCCGCTGGGTCAAGCACTATTTTTATTGCCATTTTACAAATAAAGAAACTGAGTCAGAGAGGGTAAAGAAGTTGCTCAGGGTTATATGGCTAGGAAATGAGTGACAGAGCCAGGATTCAAATCGAGGCCATGAGGCTCCAGAGCCCACAAGCTTAACTGCCATGCTATGCCTGCTCTTGTGAATTATTATGAACAAATTTCCCTGCACCTGGTCAGCTCAGGTGCGTTGGCAAGACCAAAGTCCATACACATTCCTTACAAAATCATGGGAATACCTGAGCACTCTGAGCCTCAAAAAATTTTCCCTTTTGGTCTACATTCATACGGAACTGAAGATAAAAACAAAACACCAAAAACAAAAACTCCCAAAACACCAAAAAAAAAACAAACTCTGCAATGTCTTTAAAAGCACAGAAGCACTGAGACCATGAGGATTTGATTGCAAGTGAGCTGACTCAGCTCCTAAGCCCATACTTCAAGAATTTTAGTGTGAAGACTTATAGTGAAAAATACATGGAAGCAAAGTTGGGCTAATGTTTTACACATTTTAGAATTGCTTTCAGGATGTGTTTCATTTTAGAAGAGCTAGAGAAAAAACAGAAAACATTTATTGAGTGTGAACTATGTGCCTGGCATTGGGCTAAGTGATTTTTCACACATGCAATCTTATTTCACCTCACAACAGTCCTATAAAATAGTATTAATTTCATTTTTACGGATGAGAACAAAGACTCAATGAGGTTTTACATTTTGTTCAAGATCATACAGCTAATAAGCGGGATAACCGGTAATCAAACTTAGAAATACATGATACCCATTTTCCCCTGAATTTAGGTTACAGTTAGGCTGTATCTTATACAGGGCTACACAGGGTCTTGATGTGTACCTTTGAAGGAAACTATCTCTCAATTCTAAGTAGTCGTGTATACAGCTATTGCCTTCACTAGTCTGTAAACGTTATAACGGAGCACAGAACTCAGGTCTTATTTCTGCTGTTATGTCAACAATACTTGGCAGAGGGTGTGTTTATACAACAGTAGCTACTAAGCCTTATTTCTGGGAGTGTAGGCATTGACACAGGGGTAGATGATAATCCCAGGTAAAGACACAAATACAATCTTAAGGCAACGTGTACATCTTGATCCTTAACTTTTAAAGGGATGGTTTGCCAGCATTTCCAGCAGTCCGGAAAAGACCCTGTCACTGAAGCACAGCTCACATCTCCCCGAGCACTGTGTGGTGTTTGTGATCTACCTACTCAGGCAGCCCCTTTCCTCCCTTCCCCGGTGCCTCTCTGGCTGCTGTCTCTCTTCTCTGGCTTTGAACCTTTTGGCAGCCTCCAAGAGCTCCTCTTCAAAGAGCCGAAGACAAGCCTGATGTTTCAATTGCCTCGCTTAATTCCACACAGGTTTCCATTAATCATATTAAATTCAGGTGAACAAAGGGTATTTAGTTTGTGACAGAGCTGAAATGTATCTGGATAAATATAAACAAAAGAGTTAATCCTGTAAGAGCCACTATTTGTGCTCAATTGGAAGGATGTCAGCAGTGCCCTTGCTAAGGGAGGTTGGAGGGTGGAAGGCAGAAGAGATTTAACAAGACTGGTGCTGAGCATCTGGACTCTGTATTAAAAGAGGGGAATAAAGCTTGTGACTGGAATACATTAGGAGAAAAGCAAATGTTCTATTCACAAAAAAAAGGCATTAATAATATGTCTTTAATCCACCCCAGGGCTCCTTAGCTTGCCTTATTCATTGTTGACTTTCATCTTCTCTATAAAGCCTCCTGCAAAAGGTCCCTTCTCAGATCAGCTTTAGGTCATGGGGGCAAAAATAGTGTTGCTAAACAGATATGCAAGGGAGTAGCATGTGTGACTGGAAAACAATGTGACAACATAATCCCGGCATGGACCGATGAGGTCAGTGTGGGGTGATGTTGGCTTTTCTAGCATCTACTGAATCATCTGATGGGAGCAGCAATTGAAAAGAATAAATACAAACACATGCAACATACCGCCACAAAGACTGCATGGCCCAGATCTGAGAAAAAGGATCCTATTTTGGTAGAATCAGTGGGGAAGTGGAGGGAACAATGAGCCGGGAGTTAGGAGACCTCAGTTCCCTTCTTCTCCCCACCACTAGCTGAGTGGCTGTGTGACCTCAGGTTGCTTGGCCTCTGAGAAATGAGGGCACTGGTCCAGCAGGTATGTATCTAAGGTCTTTAGTTTCAAAGGCAAGGATCTGTCCTATGTAGGAGAGGTTTTATAGAAATGAACTTCTACAAGACCACAACCTAGTGGGACACTGTAATCCAAATCACAATTTTCTGAAGTCACCATGTGTAGAATGTTTTGCCTAAGGTCTATGGATGAAGGCAAAGTGTTGGCAGGTGCATTAGCGGAAAAGGTTGAGATAAAACAGAATCAGAGAGGACACTCCTGGCTTCAAACTATGACCACAAAATTTCACTTCCCCTTGGGTCTTCAACTCTTCTTTGCAACGGGTGTAACAAAGAGCAATAACAGGATCCCAAAAGAGCATTCCATAATCTTAGGTCACGATTATGCTTCCCAGCATGTCTCTTATTTGTACATATCTCCTTTTCTCATGTTGTACTTTCCGCCTGGAATATTTCCCCCATCTTTACTTATCAAAATTCTACTCATCCCGACTCTAAGACCTTACAGATGGAATGACATGCCCCTGCACACTCTTTGGTTATCACAGCACTTATTTTATTCTACTTCATACTACACATCACCTCCATTTAATTATAAGCATTGCTTATAAGATTCCTAAAGGCAGGGTCTGGATCTCATTTATCTATGTATCCCTGGACTGCCTGGCACATTGTAGGCACCCACCCAATAATGGTCTCTGAATTGAACTGAACAGGGATTTTCATGTTACCTGCTAACGTGACAGCAATGGAGACAGAGTCATATCCCAAAGCATTTGTGGCATTACAAGTGTAGAAACCCACATCAGCTTCCACTGGTGCCAGGATCTGTAAGGAATCGTCTGGTTGTAGAAGAATCCTGGAACAACAGAAAAGAAATGCAGACCTGGTCAGGTCAGTTGAGTCCTTTTTAGCAATCAATATTGGTAAAGCAGGAAGGAACCTACAGGATATTTAGCATCCTGTTTTGACAACAGGGACAAAGCAGCCACAGTAATACTCAGGAACCCAGGCTCTCTTACCACTGTGATTGGTGTGATTCAGGTAGCAATCTCAAATAAGGAGGTTTTTTACTATTTATGCTGCTTGTTGATTACAAGATCTAAATGCTACCAGTTGGACAGGCGCGTGCATGCACTGAACGCATATAACACACACATCAGAGGCGAAAGAGGAGGGTAGAATGAATGGTGCAGATGGATCTGGGGGAGGCTCAGTAAGGGAAATGCAAAGTTAGTTACAAAGGAGGAATGGGGCTTGGTTGGATGGGGGAAAATAGGCAGGACTTCCAGATACGAGGAAAGGCATCTGTTAAGGCTTAGAAGAGCGAGAGAGGAAGCCAGAAATCAAATATCGATGAGAGGATCTTGTGTACATTTGAAGGCAATTGTATGTGTAATCACATCTCCATTCCAGGTAGTCATATATACACCTACTGCCTTCATTCATCTGCAAACATTCTGGGGCACAAAACTCAGATCTTATTTATTGTTTTAGTTCCTACAATATTTGGCAGAGGGCCCTCCAAACAGAAAGTGTCCAGTAGAATGATGGGAAAGGCTGCCCTTCAGGGTCATGGCAGAGACGATTCCAGAATAATCACTATCTGGTTCAGACACTTTGCTTAACTTGAAAAGAATTACGAAAATCAAATTGTGAGTGTCTACACCATGAGCTTCAAAACCCACTCTAACCTCACTCTACTATTTTTTCTTCTCTCTACTTGGGTCATTTCTAAGAACTACCTGCTATGTCATGGCAGTCAGGCAGATCGATGACTAAGGAAGACTTGAAGCTGATGTCTTGGTGACTTGGTGAGGCTGATGATAACTGGAATGTGTCCATGGAGGTAGGAATCCAGGAAGGCAGTGGGAAACTCAGAGATCCTGTGCCTGGACCTGGCAGGGCCTTAGGTTGATAAATCATTCAACAGCACAGAAATGGGTTAGACTTGGCTTTTGGACTCTTCAAGTCAGTCACTTCCATCTTCATGATTATTTCCAACTCCCTAATTTCAAAAGGCTCAAAGAGCTGGTCACCTAATATCATATTAACATCCATCTATAGAAAGCAAGCAGGTAGCAGGGGCTGTTTTTCAGGAAAGGGGAAAAAAATCATAAAAACGTCAGGAGAACTCACTAGACTTGGTGGTGAAATTAAGACGAGGAGTCAGCTCTCCTGCCCAGCCACACAACCTCCCCACTATACAATTCTTTTCTTTCTTCACTATTTCTCCAGACTCTATGGCATTTGCAGTTCAGCACTGCCTCTAGTCAGCTCTTAATTATTCTGAGGTGGGTGACCAGTCTGGCAATGAATCAGGCCTCCTCAACGCTGCTCTTGGCCTCGAGCCTATTGCATTGCTTATTCTTACCTCCTGTCAGAGGAAAGGCAGGAAAGAGAAAAAGCAAGGCTTCCATTAATCAATCTTCAATCTACTTATGTATGGGCAGTTGTGGTCAAAATGGGGAAGGAAACAGAAAACCTTAGCTACAGGGAAGTTTCTGGATGGTTTGTGTTTGATTCGGTGCCATTCTAGACTATCACTGCTATTACTGGGGACAGTTAGCTTTTGTGGCATTGAAGTAGAGCTGACACTTTGTGAAGGATGACGGATTCTATAGATATTGTGATAGAACTCATGCACTCGTTCAGTCGCTCGTCCAATAGATATTAGGTGTTTTCTCTCAAAGTCAAACAATTACATGTTAGTTTGTTAGTTTATTTCAAAGATGCTAATAAGAGAAAGATGACAATATGATTCACTTATCTTTGGTAAGCTATACAATATTTAGGTAATAATGTAATGAACTGTTTTCTAAAGGAATCTTAACAGATGGAACAAAGCATCATTGCTACATTTCTTTGGGTGTTCAGGCTATTTTAGATTTTAAAAATTAAAAATTGACTTTATGATTGAAAGCTTTATGATGTCCCAGGAACATCTATGTCTCCATAACAATTTCCAAGCAGGAATCCGGGAAGCAGGCTTAATCAAATTTCAACAGAACTGACTGTTCAAGATGATTGAACTTAGTAGATCATTACTCAGTTTTACCACATTCACAAGGCAGGGATTAAAATTTGCCAAATTCTCAAGTCCATTGGGACAGCTGCCTCCCTAAAACTGGCACTATCTCTGTCTTCTCCACAGAGAAATTCTTGAATTGAACATTCAGAGCAGGAGGCTAGAAGACAGGTCTTCTGAGCTTTGTTTTGGTCCTGCTATGATTTAAGTAACCAGCATTGGCAAATCCCTTTACCTCCCGGCATTTCAGCTTACCAACTTCTAAAGCCAAGTTGAGGTACATTTTCCTACCCAGCAGAGGGAACTGTTAAAATGAGGTTGATAAGGTACTTCCAGGCCATCTTTTGGTATTTCCAATGACCCTTCCATTGATAATGTGGGACACTCTGAATGGAGAATTAAGTGTGAGGAAGGAGAGGAGTGCATGATATTGGCCAATTTCCCCCCAATTTATTAGACTGCCATATTATCATTCCACCTGCCCCCATAGAGCTACTGTATTTGTCCGATCTCATGCACAGGAGGTAAACCCTGCTCCCACTCTGGGCCTGTTTTTTTTTTTAGGTTGGGGTTAGCTTTTGTAGCTACATGAGTTCCTCCAGGCACTGGTATTACTGACTGAGCCACAACACTTTCTGCTTGTCTGAAGCCTGGAAAAGAATTCTCACAGAGTTGGTGAAGAGAAGGGAGGTGATCCGTCACACCAGGCACAAAGCCATGAGGGTCTGAACTAGGATGGGAATAGTGGAAATGGAAAGGAATCTGAATCTTGAGATTTAGCATTCACAGATTCTTTTATTCCATAAACTGTCTACAACAAAATAAAAAAAGCTAAAGTATTTGCCTGCATAAAAAAACAGTTGTAAACATTGTTTTAAGAAAAAATCTACATGGGACAAAATCTAAATTTGTCATTTATTGTATAGACTTACAAATTATTTATATTCATAAAACTGAACTCTTTAGCTTAAGGGTCCATAGTTATTTGGTGGCAGAGTCAGGATTTGAAATAAGGTTTCCAGGTCCAGCACTTTCCCCTCAGTCTATCATGTCTTCAATATGCCCATAAAATTGGTAGGTAGGGGTTTGGAGGCTGCCACTAGGGGGAGCAATAGTTCTGGAGAGGGTTCCTACGCAGGGTTCTCTAGGAAACATGACAAGGCAAAAGAAAGGGCTTGCTGTGGAGACTGAGGTTTGCTTTAGTCTCACTATCTAGCCTAGCATCTAGAGAGAGAGATTCCTGGAAAAAAAAATTTCCTTTGTATTTCAGGCATCTACTCTATTAATTTAACTTAATTTGTTAGTAGCTGATTTCTGTCAACTTGTATTTAGGTTTCAAGTTTGACAGGACTGTTTTAGAATGCACAGGCACAGAAACATAGTGCTGCTTTCCAAGAAAAACCAGAAAGATTTCTCTGGGGTTGTTTCGGAATTTAAGGAATCAGAGGATGAGGGGATATGGAATGGGGCATAATTAAAACCTACATAGCAAATGGTACTGTGGTCATATTAAGTGTATTAATACTCGCTGCTTTCCTCCCATACCCATACCACACTTCCCTTTTGGTTTACTGAGCTAAAACTTAATGCTTTATTTATTTGGTCATGCTTTTAGCCTGAAAATGAAAGAGTAGTTTTGCTTTTCTGGTTGCCTTTACTTGTAAATTTCTAAGCATGTCTTCTCAAGCATTCTACAAATTAAGTAAGGAGCAGTGGAGACTACAAATAACTGTTTAGTTACATAAGTAAAGCCCTCATCACCCATGTGAGCAGGATATGGACCAAGTGCCTGTGGGCCATTCCTATGAAGTACAAGCTCCTTGAGGGGACATAATCTCCTCTGCATTTGCAATGTACAGTGAAAAAGTACTCTTATTTGAAAAGAAGGCAGCTCTGGGTGTCTAAAGGAAAGTTTCTAGTGATTCTGCAAGTCAGGTAACATCATGATACCGTCCGAATTCTTGGCTCAACTGTAAACACCACTTGTTCAGGCCCACCTCTCAAAGTGACCTCCACAACCAACCACATGAAGCTGCAGTGGATGGGAAGCCTTCCTGAACTCACTCAAGAGACATGCAGTCATGTGGTGGTCTTGGGTAAGACTTTCAACTCTGTGAGCCTCTAAATCCCTTCTCAAAATTGAGGATAATACTGACCTCAGAGATTTCTTATGAGGATCAAATAAAGAAGTATATAGACCCATTCTTATTGTTTTCTAAGTAAACAGGAATCAGCTTAAACATCAGATGCATCTAATAAATTTTTTTTTTTTGGTGTGTGTGTGTGTGTGTGTATGTGTATTTTAATAGTACAGGTGGTGGTAACCTATAGTACCATCTTGGAATTCAACCTTGAAATTTCCAGTTGTCAGAGGAAAGTTTTGAATTCTGTACACAGAAATACCCAGTTGCTACACGGGGCATGATGTTGTACCATCGCAGGCCTCTCACCCTTACAAGTAAGCATTCTTAAACCCATTTTAGGCCTCAATACAGGACTGGAAGCTGGAAATCATAGGTGCATCATTCCTCTTTAGAACAGTATCTTCCTCATCTGTTCAAACTTACCTACCCCACACCCCAACACAAACTTATCTTTTTAGTCAAGATGGCCTCTTTGACTCTCCTTGTCATTAGCCTGGGGCTGAGTTCATGCTCTTTCTCCTTCTGTCTATCCTTCCAAATTCTCCCCATCCCTTAAGAATGAGTTTCAAGTACGGGGCCAGTGGCGCAATGGATAATGCGTCTGACTACAGATCAGAAGAATGAGTTTCAAATTCTACTTCCCTTGTTATCATAGTCCACAAGAATCCCTCACTTTCCTGATATTGC